TGCCCCGCTCTGCCAGCCTGATCCCCCCTAACTGCCCCACCCGCTGGCCTGGTTGCCCCTTACTGCCCCCCCCCGCCAGCCTGGTCACCCCCAACTGTCCCCCACGCAGCCTGCTGTTCGGTTGTCCGTCCGGTTGTTTCGGTCGTGACAGCCCCTGGCTTTTTATATATTAGAATAGGATTCAGATACAAAAACTACATCAGCGATCACAATAGTACATATTTCATAACATTCTTAAATATGGTAGCTTTTTAGGTCATATTTATTAGTGACTAGCTATAAAAAGCCTTCAAATAAAAAGGGTCCAGGTGTATGTCCATAGGGGCAGCAAGAGAGATCTACTTCACAGTGTTGCTGGGAAGAAAGAGAGGAAGACTAGAAATAAAGGTGAGCAATGCCAGCTTTAAACAAACAAAAAGATTACAAAATAAGTAATGATTGTCTTTATCATCTTTATATTAAAACAAATCATGGCATGTAGTAGCTGCTCACAAATGAATGATTCCTCTATTTGTTCTTCCCTTCCTTTTCCCTCTATCCTTTCTTTCTTCCCTTCCTCCCTCCCTACCTACCTACCTTCCTTCCTTCCTTCCTTCCATCCTTCCTTCCTTCCTTCCTTCCTTCCTTCCTTCCTTCCTTCCTTCCTTCCTCCATCCATCCAAACCGGCATTTTCCCCCAATCATCCAACATCCAATTCAATTAGTCCCTCTTTTCCTCCCACGGGCCTGCAAAATCTAAAGGATCAAGAGGTTCCTTTGACAAGGTCTTAAAACTTTTCAGCAGTTTCCCCTCTTGAAACCTATCAAGATATATTTTAGTTCTAGGCATTGAAAATAAAATCAACGCTGGTCTTCCTACTAAGAGAAAAAAGTCCACAGAGAGACTAGAGGACACGTCAGCTGAGGAAGGCTGCATTGTTTCTTCCAGGATGGGAAGTTCACACTTTGCAGCAGAGCAGTTAGCACAATCTTATCCTGAGGATACCAGAAATGGGTGAGATTCACTTTCTTGAAAGTCCACAGAGAGAATAGAGGACACCGTGAGCTGAGGAAGGCTGCATTGTTTCTCCCAGGATGGGAAGTTCACACTTTGCAGTAGAGCAGTTCGCACAATCTTATCCTGAGGATACCAGAAATGGGTGAGATTCACTTTCTTTAAAAATTCAGGTCAGCCCCTTGTCCCTCAACCATATTTGAAAACCAGTTCCCACCTCTTTTCCCCACTCCCACCTCCCCCAAAGTGGCTACCACAAATACTTTTGCTCCCCCCAGTCCCTTTTGCCCCGTACCCCAAAATGAAAGAACCCTGACTGAATTCAGCATCAGCCTCTTACCCTGCCAGGAAAGCTAAGGAGTAGGAGCTGTTCTTAGAAACAAATGCAGAGCGATGTGTCTGTGTCATCTTGCCTCGGGAAGGTTCTTCATTCTCTGAATCTGAGAGACGCGCAGGGCACTGGCAGGAGAGAAGGGAGACAACAGTGTCCATTTGGGGTTCCCATTGATTCTCCCATAGCTACTGTTTCAAATCTCTCCATTATGTCACTTCTACCTGAGCTCCAATCTATGTTTGTGTTTCCAACTGGCTCCTGGAGATCCCAATCTGGATATCCCAAATGTAGCTCAAACTTTATATATCCAAAATCAAACTATCTATCTTTTTTAAGCCACACTACCAACCCAACTGGAAGCCTCAATGTCATCTATGACTCTTTTCTTTCCCTTTCTTTGAGGAAATAATAAATTATATAGAGGTTTTGAGTACCCCAACATTTCTAAATATTGTTTCATTTACTGTTTATATCAACTCTATTGAGAAGGGATTATTAGCTGTATTTTACAGATGAAAAACTGAGGCTCAGAGCAGTTGATTTGCCTGGGACTGTAGAGTTAATAAGTAGCTGACACTGGTTCTTAAATCCAGAACATTTGTCTCCCAACTACCTCCATGCTATTTCCACTCTACTCCATTCTACTGCTTAACAGTGGTTCTCAACCTTGGCTGCACATTAGAATCACCTGGGAATCTTTTTAAAATCCTGATTTCTGGGCCGCATCCTCCGGAAATTCTGTTTCATTGTTATGGGGTGGGGCCACAACATTAGTAACAAAGAAACAGAATTTCCGGAGGATGAGGCCCAGAAATCAGGATTTTAAAAAGATTCCAGGTGATTCTAATGTGCGGCCAAGGTTGAGAACCACTCTGCTAAAATGTCTCTCATCTAACTCTTCCCATGTATACTCAATTGTCATTGCCTTTCCTTAGATTCTCATCATCTTCTGCCTGGACTATTGCAATATCTACTACTGGTCTCACTCTCTTCAGCCTGCCTTCCTTCCTTCTAATCCCCTTCATACTATCAAACACACAGAATCCTGCTTAACTATTGGTAGCTTCAGGATAGAGTCTAAACACCTCAGCATAATTCAATAATCTTCAAAACTAGACTCAACTTTCTTTCATAGTTTTTCTCATACCAGTTCCCACACAGAGAACTCCTTGAATTCTAGTACAACAAAACTACTTTCTGCTCTCCACATGTACCATAATAGTCTTTCAAAACCTCTATTCTTTTGGACATGCTATTCCCTCTGCCTAATATTCCCCTTCCACATTCTCTGCCTCTAAAATACTCATTGGCCTTTCAGAGGCATCTTAAATGTCACTTTCTCTGAAAGGGCTTCCAAATATCCCTAGAGTCAGCCTTTTCCACCTTTGTTTTATTTTGGAATCTTTTTTTTTTTTTTTAGTCTTTTCAATTTACATTTGAAGTTTCTTTTATATGTGCCTTTTGCATTCAATATATAGTGAGTATTATTTGCCTTACTCAATATGAAAGTCTTTTTAGAGGGAGCAAATAATCTCACTGAACTCTAGTTTCTTATTTAAGAGTCTGTCTTCTGCTTCAGACAATAAACTCTGTGAGAGCAACTGACCATCTTTTCTTTAAGAATCCCAATGCCATTATAGAGCAGGTAAACAAAACATATGTAATCATTTAATGATTAACCAGTTAGCTAATGATCAAATGACTACCAAAATGAGAGTTACAGACAGAGGCATGCAAGACATCATCTTATGGCTCAGAGTACCCTGCATTCCTGAAATGCTTTGTTATTCTCTAGGCTGACAAATACATACATACAATAAGCTATGTTTCCTAATAGTTAGTCTTTGAGAAATAGGATTACAAATTACAGGGAAGCTTTTCAGATTTTGTAGGGTACAACTCCTTAAAGAACTCTGTTGTACAAACTGTTCACTGGAGAAACTTTTAAACAGTACTAACCCATTATAAAATTTTATATAATATTCTCTTTTCGACTCTGAGAGAAAAAAAAAAAAGCTTTGACATCTATAGACTCAACAGGGAATAAATAATGGCAATTTCTATTTAGGTGTTTCCACATAATCAATTCACTACCAAATAAGAGAATGTCCAAGTCCCAGCTCTATTACTTAACTATCAGGGTCACTGTAGGTTAGTTGTTTATCTTTCTGAGCTTCAGTTTTCTCATCTATAAAATAAAGATTGCTCCATCTACTGTTAAAAGGAGTTAGTATATTAACAAGTAGTAAGTGCTCAACAAAAGATATATTTTTATCAAATTAAATACTATTAATCTTTTAAGAAAAAAAACTTTAGCATTATAATAGATATCACTAGGTTAGTTTTAATTATTGAAAAATACATTTACATTATTATAAATAATTATATAGATAGAGGGTACCTCCCCCCATCTCTCTATATTTCCATTCCCAAAAAACCTAGAACCATAAGAGAGGAAAATATTTACCTCTCATCTTTCCCTTTAGGTAAAAATAAGCCTACTGCACTACAAATTCCTAAAATGGTATAAAACATGCATAATAAAATCCCAAAGTGATATTTTTTAATTTACATAAAAAATTTAAAAGAATGACAATATCTAGAGTTGGCAGGGTGTGAGGAAATTAGTTTAGTACTTTCTTAAACTACCAGTGGGAGTATACCTATATACAAACTTTCTGGAGGTCAAATTAATAATAAGTACCAAAAGTCTTAAAAAGGACACTCCCCTTGACCTGGTCATTCCACTTCTGATAATTTATTTATTCGAAGGAACTAATCAGAATGGTGGTTTAAGATAGCAAAATATCAACAGGAGGTTAATTAATAATTCTACTGTAAAGAATATCAAGAGACCACTAAATAAGGATGTAGGATTCTTTATTTACATGGAAAAACATCCATAATTTAATAGTTTATAAGAAAAGGTTTAAGAGAGTATGCACACTGGGTTCCATTTTCTAAAAATAAAAAATATATATTTAGTATATATGCACTTAGAAAAGAAGTTTGGCAAGACATTTACTAAAATGTTTATATAAGTTATCTCTAGGTTGTGGGATGACAAGCAATTTTTCACTTTCTGCTTTATAATCTTTGGTACGACTATAATTGCTATACCAAATTGTTTTCCAACAATTCACATTATTATTGATATCAATTGTACCATAAAAATAATAAAATAAACACTGCCAATTTTATTTCCATTCTGAGCAAATAACAGATGATAATTTCTGATTCTGGAATAAGTACTTTCCTTCCTCCATTTGAATTCAACTTGATAAACTTGCATCAAACACTTGCGATATGCAAGGTAGTGTAGGAAATTTTAAATTAGGTTAAGACATTCCTATACTCAAGAAACTTACAAATCTAGTAAAGAAACACAAACACCCAAATAACCATAAGATAAGGGAGAATGAAGTAAGTCCTATAAAAGTTACAAAGTAGAGGAAGGGGTTCTGGGAGGGCAGAATGGAGTAGAGAGAAGTGGGGAATCTCTATAGGTTCCAGGAAGGCGACAACTTTTGAACTGGACACTGAAAGAGGAATAGCCTGTCAACAGGTAAGTTGGGTGACATTTCAGTGAGATGAAGATGTGAGAGCAAAGACTCTAAGGAGGGAAAATACAGAGTATATTCTTGGGGGAAACCATTTCTTAGAGTTTGGGATGTAAGCAAGGATGGAAATACAAGCTAAAATAATACCAAGGACTTGAATGTTGGAGTGAAGAGTTCTCACTTAATTTCTCAGGAAATACAGAGTTCCTGAAGTTTGTGGGAAAGGAGTGAAATAATCAGTCCAACTCTAATCATAACACTCTCTATATAAAATTTAATCCTTCATCTGGCTTCCCTCTAAAATCTACTTGAGCTTCTCTTTGGTCTCAATTTGAATGTAGCCTTGACTAAACTAAATGAAATTATCCATTCAACACCAAAAATTCTTAACACATATTTAAAGCAAAATTAGAGCCACTTAAAAGGCCTCAAAAATATAAAAGCAAACAGAAAAATGGTAAAAATCACAAAACTCTAAAACTTGAAGTGTTCATAGGTCATATTTTATTCAATGTGTTTTTGCACACAAAATTTTCATAACTGGCTATTACCAATAAAAACAGGTCTGACAATGTGTACTTCTTGGTTCCTTTTAAGATTAAAAGTAGTTTTATGCAATTGATTTCTATTTCAAAGATGATAATGGAAAAAGAAGAAAAAAATCTTAGAGCAATTTCCCAGTCTTGACATGAATTAATACTAGAGATCATTTCCTGGAGAAAATCTGGATCTGGCAAGGCCAAAACAGCAGCAGGTAGTCTTTCTATCCAAAGACCATAGCAGAGGAAAGCGAGCTTCTGCGTTGTTTCGCCTGTGGCCCTAATGGACTGTCCTGCTGGGGTGAAGTCACAGGCAGAATTGCAGTCTTTGGACCACAGACCATAGTTGGGGCCATTAGTCAGAAGACATACTATATGCACAAGACTGTCATATATTTCATTCCTAGCCTCTCTGATAGCAGTCTTTTTCCTTTTGTAGTTCCCAATAAACAGAGCATTAAGAGTACACAGCATTTTGTATTTGCTAAACTGAATCTTTTAGAAGGCTGAAACCCTATAAAATCCAAATAGTTGTTTTTAGTAATAATTAAATAATAAAAATTATTATTATTATAGCTGGATTCAAAAAGCCCCACATGCCTGTTGACAATCAGCAAATACTACCAATCCAAGAAAGCTTAAATAATTGAATTTTTTGAAATTCGGGAACAATGTCTTTGCAAAGAGTATATCAAAAGCACAGAGAAATTAAGTAACCTGGCCAAAGTTATAGTCTGTTTTAATGCTGGGACCTGTTCAAGAGGCAGACTTCTGAAGCAGAGATTTTTTCCCCTCTATTCTGCTATATTGTCTGTCTTTATATATGGTAAAGCTCTATTAATTCTGGTTAATTAGAAAGATAACTAAAATACTAACAAGCCTGAATCATAAAATATTTTAAAAGATATGACTCTATAGATATGTTAAGCACATACAGAAAGCAATAAAAGATGTCCAATCCAATAAAACTTATTAAAGAAAAAACTCAATTATAATTACCCATTTGAGCTAATCAGTGGACCCTGCAAAAGTACTTTAAATATACCACTTCTAACCTTTTCCAGTAATTTGCTTGGTAAATAAGTAATGAAAAAATTTCAGGCAAGATTTAGCTCAATTAAAAGTCTAATTAGGTTACATTTAAACTATGTAATCTAATACCTTATTCCTAGTACTGTGCTGTTTAGAATAAAGAATAAAGGGAAATTCAAGCTTTAACGAAATCTAGTAGAAGATATAAGACATACAAAACTCAAATATGAAGCAACACAAGTCAAAATATGTACAAAATTTACCACAAGTAGTCTACTGCACTAGGTTTTTCCTTTCACCATTTTCTCCCACCGTCCGCTTAATCTTTCTACACAAGTGTCGTTTTCCCATTCATAAATTACACTCTCCAGCTCTCATCTGGACACTAAATTCTCACAACACTTAAACTGCACAGTCAGTGACTATTAGTTGACCAACACAGGCCTTTCAGACCCCTGTCCCCTGCGCTAATTGCTGCTGTTGAGGCAGATGTCCATCAAAACAGTCATCTACTTACACGCTCCAGATTGGTTTTCAGTACCAATGGCTCATCTCTTTTTTTCTGTTCGTCCATTTTCCTTTTCCCTGTTTCTGTGTCCTCTGGTAACAGCTTGTGGATTTTATCTTCGGAAGTTTTCTCCTCTTGTAACTTTTCTTCTTTCAGCTAAAAATACAAATCACACTGAGACAGTAGAATTTTAGGCAACTATAAACTTAAAAATATCTTTTCATCAGTAGTCTATTAGAACAAACATCACATGGCAGTTTTGAGACTATTTTCCTTATTGGATAGAAAACCCTCTTAATTTTTAATTAAGTTAGTTTTTACTTGACTCTTGCCAAGCATACACTTCATGGCTTAAGATTTAACTGCTCTGCATTCTTGAGCAATATGAAACCATACAAGCTAATACATAATCAAAAAATAAAGTTTATTCATTTAGTTAAAAGAGACTGAATATAAAAACCTTCTTATTCCCATAAACCAGATGGAAGTGTACTGGGCCAGGAGAACAACAGAGATATAGGCCGCAGAGGGTCAGAGAAGCTGGGCAAGGCAAAATGGGTCTTTAGGCCTAGTAGCAACAGGAAAAATGACTTTGTCACAGTTCCAATGTCCTACAATTTGTGCTGTTAACCTTGCAGTTCAGAGAATAGGTTAAGACACATGACTTACAAAGAAATTTAAGGCAGAGGTATCTGCTCCTCATTTGGGGGAGGTAGCATGGCATTATGAAAATAAGATGGGCTTTGGGATAACATGGGTTCTAATGGTTCTGCCACTCATTTACCAGCTAGATGATCTTTGGCAAATGAACCATCATATGCTCACCTGCATAACAGATAATGCTGCCCTGGCCGGTTTTTTTCAGTGGTTAGAGCATCGGCACACAGACTGAAGGGTTGTAGGTTCAATTCCAGTCAAGGGCATGCCCCTCGGTTGCAGGCTCGATCCCCAGCCCAGGTTGGAGTTTGTGCAGGAAGCAACCAATTGATGTATCTCTCTCACATCTATTTCCCTCTCTCTGTGTCTCTACCTCTCCCTTCCACTCTCTCTAAAAATCAATGGAAAAATATCCTCTTAAAAAAACAGATGTTACTTACTTTGCAGATATAGTTTGAAGAAGTAGATGAGAATAAAGTACTTAATGTTGTGTCTTGCTGTGTACTTACAGTACATCAAGAGTTTCTTTCCCTAATCTCCTTTTTATTCTATTTTCACTGCCCAGGGTTTTAATAAGATTTAAATGACAATGTATATCAAAGCAATTACAGGGTACTAATATTTTTAATCATACTTGCAAAAAAATATAAAACTAAAGAATAAATATTTTTCATTGGCTGTTACCTCAGTGTTAAAAAAACAATAAAGATTTAGTTTTATCTTCCTAATTTCTTTAGGTCTGATTCCTACAAGTCTGAACTAGTCTTTAACACACTGAGTCTAATTCAAGGTGATAAATATTAAAAGAACACCATACACAATGTTGTATCAGGAGATTCGAATGAAATAATGTATTCCCAACTCTTCCAAAGTCAAACAAGAACACACAAGGAAGAGAAGCAAATCCATATCCAGGGAGAAAGCAATCATAAGCAATGCTAACTGCCCATGTGAATGATCAGTGTTGATGATCTTATATGAGAAATTCTTGTTCAACAATTTGACCACAGGCTACCCAGAGGGGCATTTTACTTTAAGAGGATAAAGAGGTAGAGTGGCGCAAAAGAGAACAGGTTTTAGCATCATAATAATTATCATTTCCTGAACTCTATGTGCCAGGTGCTGAGCTTCCTCACTTAAGAAAACTAAGGTTTAAGAGTTGGTAATGTGTTCAAATTCACAGTCATAGCCCTAGAGCTGGAATTCAAATCTAGGTTTATCTCAGTGGTTCTCAACCAATGATTTTACATCTCAGGGCACACCTGGCAATGTCTGGAGACACTTTGGTTACAACTTAGGGGTGGAGCGTGTGTGCTACTGTCATCTAGTGTCTTGAGGCCAAAGGCTGCTACTAAACATCCTAAATGCACATGATAGCCCCCAATAATATATACATACACAGAAGTTACAATTTTTTAAAAACTAAATATTAAATTTCCTTTAATATATTTTAGTGTTAATGTGTTTAGTATGTAATGGTATTTACATACTATGCCCTATAGCTTTAAATATGTGTTTTACAATGTATCCTTATAGCTCCTAACAATGTTTATCTCTGCTCTCAAAGTTTTTGACAACAGCCTTGTGTTGCTGGCAAAACCACCTTTTCATTGCAGTGCTGAGTCTCTGCTAATACAGCATTGTCTTAGCAAAGCTAAAAATTTACACAGTTGAAAAACCCATATACCCATTTAAATCTTCACAAGAGCATGTTGGCGTTTTCTCTATGCTGAGTTCTGTAGAAGTTATTTTTTTTTTGTCCTTTTGGTGGTTATTTATAAGGACTTGAGAACTTGGTCTCTAGGAAAGAATTTTTATACTCACGGAAAATGACTCTGGAGTGTCAGAAAGCAGCATATAAACTTGAGTAAGACTTATCAATAGCTGTTGCTTATTAAACTCTTCTATGTTCCAGGCATTACGTTTATAGAGCGTACCTCATTTAATCTTTAAGGGCTCTGTTTGTATATATCATTATCATTTCATAGACACAAAAAAGTAATACTCAGTATTTCCCAACGTCACCATGATTGAATACTGAAGAACTTGAATTTTATAGTAAACCATTGGTTTCAGATACCAGGGAGTCTCAACCACAGCATGACTGGCATCTGGGGTTAGATAACTCTCTGCTATGGGGCGGGGGGATTGAGCAGAGTCTAATAAGAAGGCTTATGCATGAATACTGGCCCAATCATTGGCTACCGAGGACAAAATGAGAAATTCTATCAACTGTATCTCAAAACCGTCAGTCTGAAGTGAGAAAAAGGGAAACATGTATCCATTGACTCCCACCTCCCAATAACCAAAGTTTGCTCCACATAGTGTTAAACACCCCTCACATTGGCTTGTACAACTTAAGTTCCCAAGGTAGGTACCACAGCTCCTACAAGAGAAAAGCCCTAGAGCTAAAAGCAGGAAGCAAGCAGTTGGCCCCTGAACAAGATCTCAGGTTGCACCAAAGTGAAGCTGCCCACTTCTGTAAGTGGAATGATTTTTATTGCTTCCTTTTTTAGATGCTAATTACTAGAGAAAAACTATTGACTTTTGTACATTAATCTCATCCTCAGTCACACCACCAAGAATACCAGGAAAATTTTCCTGAAAATGGCTTCACTTTGCCCTTACATTTAAAAATAAACTTTAACAAATCAAAGTATTATACAGTACACAGAAAAGTATACAAATCATAAATGTAAGGCGTGGTAAATTATATAAAATAAGCATATCCACATAACCATCACCCAGATCACGAAATGGTATATTACCAGTATCTCTTGTGCCTACTCCTCACCCAAAAGTAACCACAATCCCAGCTTCCAACACCAAAAAAAATAAAAAAAAAATCGTTTTACCTATTTTTGGACCCTTTCTGAATTTTACATAAGTGGAATCATATATACATTATTTCTGTCTTTCTTCAGTCAACATACTGTTTGTAAGATTCATCCATGTAAGGTACATATAGTTTGTTCTTTCTCATTGTTTTATAATATTCTATTGTTTCCCTACAAAACAATTAATTATTCTACTGTTAATGTATATTTGAGTAATTACTAGTTTTGGGCTATTTACACTTAAACCGCTATGACATTTTTGAATATCTATCCTGATACACATACTGTTCTGTGGGGTATATTCTAGAACAGATACTATTTACTCATCAGGTATGGGTATGCTGCCATGGTTGTCCAAACTGGCACAAATTACACTCTTACCCCCCAAAGTAGCAGAATGACAACTTAAGTTTGCTCTCAGCTTATTTGTCTATTTCAGACATTCCAATAAGTATATATATTACTGATTATTAATTCAATTTGCATTTCTCTTCTAAAGATGTAGAGGAGTTTTTCATGTTTACTGTTTGGAAATCCTCTTTCACACAGTGCCTATTCACAGTGTTGCCCTTTTTTCTTTTACATATTTGGGTTCCCCCCTAGTAATTTGTACGAGCTATTTATATATTTTTGGACCCTTATCTTCAGTTTCACTTTCTGCAGTTTTAGTTACCTGCAGTCAACAATAGTCTAAAAATATTAAATGGAAAATTCCAGAAACAATTCATAAGTTTTAAATTTTGTGTGGTGCTGAGTAGCACAATGAAATCTCACACTTTCCTGCTCCATCCCATCCCAAGACGTGAATCATCCCTTTGTCCAGCAAATCCATGTTGTACATGCTCCCCACCTGTTGGTCACTTAGTAGCCATCATCTTGGTTTTCAGATCAACTGTCATGGTATCATGGTGTTTGTGTTCAAGTAACCCTTATCCTATATAATAAAGAGCTAATATGCAAATGGTCATCATGCCATCACACCATCATGCTGTCACGCCGGGGCCAGGGGACCTGAGGCAATGTCCCCCGCCCAGCGCCAGGCTGGGGGACCTGAGGCTGTGCCCCCCCCCGCCTGGTGGGGCTTGACGGGGGACTTGAGGCTGCTTGACAGGGGTGGGGCCGGCTGGGTCTGGGTCTCACACGATTTCAAGGCTCGCGCGGGTGGGCGGGGACTTGACTCTGGGTCCTGCGGCACACCCCAGACTCTGACAGGAGGGAGATTTTCATATACATTTTACTAATTTTCTTTCATCTCTGGACACTTCTATATAAAGGGCAAATAGCAATATTAAAATATTTCCTCTAATTCCCTTTTAATGTGCATGAATTTTGTGCACTGGGCCACTAGTTTTATTATAATTGCTCTATTTTAACACTAGTTATTGTTGTTAATCTCTTACTGTGCCCAATTTATGAATTAAACTTTTTCATAGGTGTGTATACATAGAAAAAAATATAGTATATGTAAGGTTCAGTACTATATGCTGTTTCAGGCGTCCACTGGGGGGGTCTTGGAACATATCCTCCACAAGTAAGGGGTACCATTATACAAAAGAAATATATGTATTTATGTATGTGTGTGTTCATATACCTTTTCCCCCTCATACAGTAGCTTGCCTTTTTTACTCTCTTAGTAGTATCTTTTGAAGACACGAAGTTCCA